CCAACTGAAGGACATAGACCGACGCACAAGAGAGATAGTCAGAAAAGAAGGAGGAATGCACCATCACGAATCCATCAAACTACTCTACCTACCAGAAGAACTAGGAGGAAGCGGCATGAAAAAGCGTTGAGGACACTTTCAAATTAACAACAATCAAAATGGCAAACTATATCAACAACAGCAAAGACAAGAGGATCAAGCATGCAAGAACGCTTGAAATGAATAGAGACGCGCAAGGTAGAAGGTCAATTTTCAAACAGGCCACCAAGTACGCAGCAGAATATAACATCACGTGCGACTTCGATGATACAGGCACTAAAATACCTACAAGTAAAGACCCTACACCTGCCAACGAGACCAAAACGATAACCTCACCAAAATCAATAAAAGAGCTGCTGCGATCAAAGATCACGGAGAAGTATATAAAAGAAAAAAAACAGCAGACATGGCTTGGAGCCTACACCAACCAACAATTCCAAGACAAACAGATTTCACCAACAACCAACCAGATCCTGAAGAAGTGGAAAAACATTCCCKATATTGTCTACASCGTAAACAAGARCATACGYCAACAACTACTACCAACAAAGACATACCAACAAAGCAAAGCACAGATGACCATCACAGACACCAAATGCAGAATGTGCCATGTGGCTACAGAATCAACAACACATGTACTGAGTGATTGCTCAAAGATCGCCCAAAACCTTTACACAGCCAGACACGACAGAATGCTGAGACCGATAAACCACTGTTTGCTGGAAAAGTACAACTTTCAGGAAAGCGACAATGGAAAGCCATGGTACCAACAAAGTCTACCATCAGCAGTACTTCAAAATGAAAAGGCAAAAATATACTGGAATGTACCCTTTCAACTTGAGAAAGCTCCAGAAAACAGTGCCAATAAACCCGACATAGTTGTAGAAGATAAAGAAACTAATGCTTGGACACTATTTGAAGGCACAGTTTGTCAAGTTGGCAAGATTGCGGAGAGAACTGTTGAAAAACAAGAAAAATACACGGAACTACGTGCAGGCATCAAAAAAGAGTGCAAAAGCTCAAGTGTAAATCAGATTAACATAGTGTTTGACTTTCTCGCAGGACATCACGAACAGCTAAGAAAAGACCTAAGAACAATTACAAATACAGACAGGGAAGTGAACTTTCTTATAGAACGATGCCAGAGATGGATTTTAAGCCAGAACGTTAATATAGTCAAGAAGTTCTATGAATATGCATAAGCTAAAGAAAGGATTGAAAAAAATGATGAACTTAACCAGCCTAGACTTAGTCCGCTGGTCAATGTAAACATGATATATACAGACAAATAAAACTTGACATAATAACCTAACCATAACCTAACCATAGAACGCTCTCAGAAATGGACTATTTCACAGAATAGTGAAATTGTTAAACGTTTTATGTGTTTGTAGTTCTAAGAGAGACTCATTTTAGTTTTGAAGAACTCAAAGTTGATCTTAGCTTCATGTACTATATACTCAATTGATAACTTTT